TGCTTGTTTAATATCTAGTATTTACAAAGACCCGAGATCAATAAATATTTCATTTCTGTTCCTTAAGCATAGGAAGGGGTGGGCGGCTTGTAGGATGGCTGAGGAGGACCATAGGAGGCCTTTGGGGTGGGGTACTGAGCCTCTCCCTCGTAGGTCACATCAGCCACGTAACCGGAGTCTCCGTTCACATTGTAGGTCACCTTCTGCAGACGACCGTCGGGAAGAAGGACGTAGTAGGATCCCTGTGTGTTGTCGCCATCACGGGCTTCCTGGTGTCCGAAGTCGTTGCCAGATGGTGGGTCGTTGACGGCGTAGTTGAAGTCGTACTTGGCGGGTGCATAAGAGGGTGTGGGAGCAGAGTAGCCATAGGTAGGCGGGCTATCTGGACGGGCGATGGCGACGACCACAAGGGCGGCCAGTGCGAATACCTGTCGGATATTTAAATCTTTAATATAACGTACGAGGTGAAGACATTAGTACATCGAGAAAGTCGAGATATTAATCAATAAACTTCTCGAATAATATATATACATAGTACATACCTTGAATGCCATGTTAGAGGAATGAGACTGCGATGAGACTGAAAGCGACAGAGTGAGTACTTCAATATATACAAATTTCCGGAAATAAAACTCCGCCCATCTCATGACGTCACGAAATATCATCCGAACAAGTTTGCCTTGAACCTCTCGAGACCAAGTTTTCCCCTTAGATGATGTTACATAACTATGGCTGAATTTTAAGTTTGAAGGTCAACATTTAGTGTGTGTGTGTGTGTGTGTGTGTGTGTGTGTGTGTGTGTGTGTGTGTGTGTGTGTGTGTGTGTGTGTGTGTGTGTGTGTGTGTGTGTGTGTGTGTGTGTGTGTGTGTGTGTATGTGTGTGTGTGTGTGTATGTGCGTGTGTATATGCGTGTGTGTCAAACTGAGAAAAGGCAAATCACGTGATGAGACTTATGTTAGTGGTAACAATTTCCGTCAACAGGTTAGGTATTGGCTACAAATCAAGTGCACTATAAACTTCAAACTTCCCTTTTAATGTCGATGTATAAGTATACTACTCTTACCATGACAAATTGATTCATTTGTCTTTATGAAGCATACTGATAAATTGGATCACAGGAACAAATTAGAAAATACTTGTTTGAATTTACCTCTCCAGCTGATATCTGTGTATTACTAATATACTTAAGAGTTTATTCAAATGGCCATTAACAAAATACACATTGCTAATAGTATATTTACATGGTAGTGTGGGTAAGAAAAAATGTAAATATGTAGATTTAATCCATGAGGATTATTAACAAGCAAAAAGGTAACAGAAGGTGTTTCACAGTCAGTGCTGACCAGCTTTCAAAATTCTTTTGACTATGAGAAACCTTCTTAAGAAATATATCATGGAATGGAATAATATATATATATATATATATATATATATATATATATATATATATATATATATATATGTATATATATATATATATATATATATATGTATATCATGTGTATATGTGTTTCTATACAAACGCACGTAAGCACTCACACACGTGCACGCGGTCACGCATGCACACATGTATATGTATGGATAGATATAGATATATACACATGTATACTTATTATCTTATGCTATGTGTATATAGATACATGTATATATATGTATATATACATATATGCTATGTGTATAATAACTTGTAGTGCATATACTTGTATGTACATTGATAAGTAATTGCAACCAGTTACAGTAATTACATTCATATATATATATATATATATATATATATATATATATATATATATATATATATATATATATATATATATATATATATATATATATATATATATATATATTCAAATGTAAGCAGAAACTCGCACGAAAACGAAAACGAAGTCAGCTGTTATTGGCAGTAAGAAACTTTTGTTGTTTTCCAGTGGCTTGCGGCTGACTTCATTTATTTGCATTGTTCAAAGCCGTGGGTGCAATTTGCCTTTTTCTACCTGTGAATATATCAAATCTACTTATTCATAACATTTTACAAACAATACTTTGTACTACTGAAGGATCGCACTACTTCATGTACCTTCTGTTATCTTCTTTTTTTCTTTTTTTCTTTTCAAAAAACAAACTTGAGTGACTAATATTCAAACTTGGCTAGATAGGTATAAGTAGATAGATAGATGCACCGCTCTATAAAATGGTCTAACATACACCCATATATATAATCTATATCTATATTTGTATTTATACATACATATACATATATATAATATTATATATATATATTATATATATATATATATATATATATATATATGTATACATATATATGTACACATATACACACACATATTATATATCTATATATATGTATGTATATATATATATATATATATATATATATATATATTATATATACATATATATATATATATATATATATAATATATATATATATATATATATATGTGATGTATGTGTGTGTGTGTGTGTGTGGTGGTGTGTGTGTTGTGTGTGTGTGTGTGTGCATACAGACACACACATATATATATATATTATATATATATATATATATATATATATATATATATATATATATATATATATACATATGCACACACACACACACACACACACACACACACACACACACACACCACACACACACACACACACACACACCACACACACATATATGTATATAATATATATATATATATATATATATATAATATATATATATATGTATTAGTGTATGTGTATGTATGCACACACACACACACATATATGTTATTGTACATATAAAGGAGAAAACACATCTTTCTATATCCTTCTACGGAGGCTGCAGAAGGAATTGGTGTCCCATTCCTTAGGCCCCAAGATATCTCGCGGATCCTTTTGTGTTGTCTCAAATATCTTCGAGTCGTCTGTAGGATCATATCCCTCTGGAGAGAAGGATCTTTCATGTTCCGTTAGAATTTCTTATGTTTTTGTTGGTAAAGTGACCTCCAAAAACTGTTTTTCTTTAGATTCGTTATTTATCGATACTGTCCTGAAATATTCATTTCATTGTTTGAAGAAAATTGAAAAGTAAATTTCGAATGAAGAGAGATACAATCACTGATATATCTTGGCAATACTGGAAGGTATTTAGAAATTAATCTTTTTACAAATTATTTTGGATTAAACATGTATGAAATATAAAAATTATCAAAAACTAAAATGCATAATACTTGGCCAGCTCACCACAAGTCGTCCTCTGCGAAAAGATAGAGGTTTCACAGAAATTCAAAATTCCACTTTTAAATTCGACACCTTGCCTTTCCTCGGGTGATGAAAATATTTAAATAATGCAGTGCAATGCATAACTGTACCACAAGATACTGGAAGTGAAATTGTATATATATATATACATATATATATCTTCTTATCTATATCCACATCTCTTCTCTCTCTCTCTCTATATATATATATATATATATTATATATATATATATATATATAATGTGTAGTGTGTGTGTGTGTGTGTGTGTACTATTTAGGATGTAACCACACCTCTTTGTGAACCAAAACAGTGTAAATCTTCATACCGAATCGTCCGTGGATTACCAAGGGACGGGTTGTGTTGTGGTTGTCTGGTCTGACAGTGACAAGAGTTGTTGGAAGTTATGCAGCGGTGACAGCAAATCGGGTCATAGAACAATCCGGTAACTGGTGATATGGTTATATGCGAACCGTATTCATGTTGACAAATGTAGAAAAGGTATGAATGAGAATGGATATCTTCACAATACAAGAGATGTAATTGACCGGTTTCGATTATATCTTCGTCAGAAATACATGTATTATGAAGATATCCATTCTCATTCATACCTTTTCTACATGGATATATATGTTACGTGCATCTGTGGAAGGGCAAAGTATCCACCTAAATTTACACACATTTTTATCGTAGGTAATAAGCACGGGCAGTAAAAACAATAGCAAACCCTACAAAAACACATAATTTTCTGTTCAGCAATTTACCTTAAAATAGCACACATATTAAATACCAATATCATAAATTAACATTAACAATATCATGTATCTGTGACATGTCATAGTATTTTGAGCAATAGATAATACCACAATACAAATATATCAAACATATATATTCTTATATAAAAGATCCCAAGGAAGCTTTTAAGAGGTTTAACATAATATATGTAAATATTTTTCCATCATATTACTATGTACGCTATGGTTTGAATTTCAATATTTCAATTAAATATTTCAGTTCACATAATTTTTGAATTTACAATGAATAACTAAAGAAATAAGTAAAACCCTAAAGGTAAAAGAATGTAAAAGAATGTCAGCAAAACGTTTTTTTTTCCTAAATGAATACCTGCCCAGCAAAGTAACCTCCTTGGCGACTTGTCTAAATCGTTCCCTACGGTTATGTTCTTGTTAAAACGATGATCATTTGCTTCGTTGTTTCATCTGCTTCTCTTCTTCTCTCTCTTTTGCACTTCTGTCTATCTTTTTGTTTGCCTGTCTGTCTCTATTTCTCTTATATATGTATATATCTTATTAATTTTGATGAATAAATTGACGGGTTCTGTTTGATTTATTTATGTACTGTGTACTGGACAGAACAGTGAGGACAAATACAAAAATATTTAAAATCCTTAAAATACACGGAAATCAGGTCCTTTATAGATAGATGTGCAAGCATGTATATGTGTTTGTGTGTGTTTGTGAATGTATATTTGTGTAAGTATGCGTCTTATATGTATTACGTTTAGTTTGATATGTATTAATCAATAAATGTATAAGTTTATATATACACATTAGTATAGACATTCACACACATACAGAGGTACATATGCATACATACATACACGCACACACACATGCACATAATTTATTTTGACTGATTAATGCTGGATAATCCTTAGATTATATATGTATATCTACATCCTTTATTGAGTATTCTACAAATTCTTTGGACATCTTTTACCCAAACTAATTTATATTATCGACAGAGGAGCTTCGCAGCCATTACATATCTGGGTGACGGACTGCTGAAAATTAAATCCCTTCCTTTCTATCTGTCCAGCGAAACGAGGCATAAAACGACTTTTAGCAATGGCAAAAATATTTATTAAGTATAAGCTAATTCATTATAGGTTGCTACCTTGTAATTTGTTTTGCATATCCTATTTACAAAGATCCGAGATCAATAAATATCGGTTGTTTTCCTTAACCGTAGGAGGGAGTGGGTGGCTTGTAGGATGGCTGGGGAGTCCCATAGGAGGCCTTTGGGGTGGGGTACTGAGCCTCTCCCTCGTAGGTCACATCAGCCACGTAACCGGAGTCTCCGTTCACATTGTAGGTGACCTTCTGCAGACGACCGTCGGGAAGAAGGACGTAGTAGGATCCCTGTGTGTGGTCGCCATCACGGGCTTCCTGGTGTCCGAAGTCGTTGCCAGATGCTGGGTCGTTGACGGCGTAGTTGAAGTCGTACTTTGCGGGTGCGTGAGAGGGCGTAGGAGAAGGGTATCCATACGTAGGATGACTATCAGGAAGGGCAATGGCGGCGACCACAAGGGCGGCCAGTGCAAATGCCTATAGTGGAAGAGTGTGCAATATTATTTGCTTTATAGGGTAGGCCTACAATCAATGTTTAGTGGTATTTAGAAGGCCGAATGCTGTTGAACACCCTATTCCATAAGAAAAGCTCTTCAAAAATGAAAAAAAAAAAGATAAAGAAACTTCTTTTACAAAGTAACAGAATTAAAGCTCCTCTCTTAGGCCGCAATTTGTTTAAATGGACTCCTCGTACAACCGTATATTTAATTATTTAATCATAGAAAGATACTAACTTTTAAATATAGAAAACGAAAATAAATAAAGAACAAAAGTAGAATTAATGTATGTAAAAGTAGGAATTTCGTGTATATAGTGTAAATCTACCGCACAATTGAATTATTTGTCATACATAGTAAGATATCCGATCTTGCATTTAGCACTATCCATTAGGCATAAAACATCCACATACCTTGAATGCCATGTCGTCAGGTGCGATATGATGAGACTGCAGAGAGACTGACGACGAGAGAAAAAATGCTTTCTTTTATACATCTATTCACGAATGACTCCGCCCCTTCGGTAACGTCAAGAATCAGCATTAAAGTAAGTTTACCTTGATTCTTCTTCCAGCCAGGTTTCCCTCTGTGATATTACACAAACTTTTTTATTTTTTATTTTATTATTATTATTATTATTATTATTATTATCATTATCATTATCATCATTATCATTATCATTATCATTATCATTATCATTATCATTATCATTATCATTATCATTATCATTATCATTATTATTATCATTATTATTATTATTTAGGGGGGTCAAATTATATATTCATAAAAAACATTTACAATTCACGAGACATATGAGTAACTAATGATGTAAAACAATTAAAGAAAAAAGTGGTAATGAATAGCAAGTATTACGGTGTCATAATATTGACAGGTATATACCGGTTCTCACACATCCTGCGGTTAAGGTGGTTGTTTAAATACAAGGAAAAGCGTAATTTATACGTAAGGGCGGCGAGTAGTAGTAGTAGTAGGAGGAGGAGGAGGAAGAGGAGGAAGAGGAGGAGAAGAGGAGGAGGAGGAGGAAAAGGAAAGAAGAGGAGAGGAAAGGGAGGAGGAAAGAGTAGTAGGAAGAAGAGAAGGAGGAAGAAGAGGAGGAAAAAGAGGAGGGAGAGGAGGAGGAGGGGGAGAGGGGGAGGAAGAGGAGGAGAGGAGAGGAAAGAGGAAAAGGAGAAGAAGGAGGAGGAGTAACAGCAGCAGGAGGAGCAGGAGCAGGAGTAGGGGTGGGAGGAGGAGTAGGAGTAGAAGAAAGAGAAGAAAAAGAAGAAAGATACTCCTTGGGCTGATTATTGGTTTTGTTAATATTAAGTAGATAGTAAATAATAAAAAAAAAAAAAACTTGAGAGTAAAGAGAATGTCATTTTTTTGTTCCTAAATGAATGCCTCTCCGGTATAATCAGAGCGAGGTAACCTTCCGTGGGGATATGTCTAAATATTTCCCCTCGGTTATATTCTTACAATGACGATATTCATTTGCTTCGTCGTCTTATCTGCCCCTCTCTCTCCCCCCTCTTTATCCATTGGTTTGTTTGTCTGTCTCTCTATCTCTGCTTAATCTGCCCCTCTCTCTCCCCCCTCTTTATCCATTGGTTTGTCTGTCTGTCTCTCTATCTCTGCTTACTCCCCCTCACACGCATTCTCTCTCTCGTTTAGTGATGTTAATTTTGATTTATTAGTTGATTGGTTTCATCTTTTTGATGTATTATAAACTGAACTGAATAGTTAATACAAACGGATGATAAAGTTATTAAAAATGCGTAAAATACATTGAAATCAGGTTCGTTACATTTAGATAGATAGGTATGTATATACATGAACAGTATATATACAGTATAATATAATATATATATATATATATATATATATATATATATATATATATATATATTATATACACACACACACACACACACACACACACACACACACATATATATATATATATATATATATATATATAGTATATTATATTATATATACATAATATACATATATATACACAAGTGTGCGTGTGTAAGAATTGTGGTTATACATGTATGTCACATATGGTTATATATGTATGTAATGTTAGTTTCAGGAAAATCAGAACTTTACGCGGGTGTCGTATCCTTTATTGGTTCGATCTGTGAAAATAAACTTCATGGAATTCCTAAATAAAGCAAAACGGAGTACAGAGTCAAGAAAAATCAATATGGCAATGTGAAAAAAAGGTCAAACCAAATGTTCAACAACCACAATAAATAAAAAATAAACTCACAACGCACTAGTCCAGAACGGCGCTCAGTCAACACGTCCATATGAAGCAACACACACACAGTGGTGTACAGAGGTCAGGTGATGCCCTGGGCCAACTCCTTGATTGTATGCCCCAAAGCTTCAAGCATAAGGCCTAGTAATAATAATGATAATAATAATAATAATAAACGAGAAAGGGAGATGTTTTCAATATGCAAATACAAATTAAACATGAGATAAACACTTTATTCAACTTAAATATAAATTTCAAAATAACTGTCTTATTTCCTTCTCTGATTGGATACCTACCCCCCTCTCCCCCGCTATTCGGAAGTCCGGGGCCACAGCTCCTCGGCCTCACCCTTTTCACACGCCGCACGCGCCCACACATACTGCGTCGTTTATTGTTATACATATTAAAGTGACAGCGAAATTATAATGACAATGAAAACTTCATCAGTACTAATGGCATTGACAAAACATCTTTCTCGAAAATTCAAACAACACTACAGTGGGTAGACCTACCCTGCGGATCTAGGTTAGATGTAGGGGAGGGTAGACTAATACTAGTAGCAAAGGTTTGTGCTTTACGGAATCCTCTCTTTGGGTTCTTCATTCTTTGGGTAAAGAAGTAGAAAAATGTTCTGGCTGACCATACATAAGATGAATTGTAAATTATTGTACAATATTGATTACACAAAATCATGGATATTGTGTTGATGATATTCTTATATTTATTCTCAGAAAATATGACCAAAGTAAGCAAGATTAGTAATGGGATTCACCCTACTGTACGTCGGAAGACAAAAAAGAAATCATGGTCTGCCTTTTAGACATCCCTTGTTATTGTTCGGAGAAAGAATAAATCTTGGAATTTAAGGGGACCGTCTGTTTTATTTTTTTTTTTTTTTTTTTTTGACGGTCCCCTTAAGCAATCCCAAATTTAGTAACGGATATTCAAAATCAGAAATAAGTCTGCTTGTTTAATAAATCCTATTTACAATGATCTGAGATCAATAAATATCCTTGGTAGACAGCCTTAATCATAGTCAGATACCTGAAAGGATTAGCCTGGTTAACATGTCTTAAGCATAGGAGGGGGTAGGTGGCTTGTAGGATGGCTGAGGAGGTCCATAGGAGGCCTTTGGGGTGGGGTACTGAGCCTCTCCCTCGTAGGTCACATCAGCCACGTAACCGGAGTCTCCGTTCACATTGTAGGTCACCTTCTGCAGACGACCGTCGGGAAGAAGGACGTAGTAGGATCCCTGTGTGTGGTCGCCATCACGGGCTTCCTGGTGTCCGAAGTCGTTGCCAGATGGTTGGTCGTTGACGGCGTAGTTGAAGTCGTACTTGGCTGGAGCGTAAGCAGGTGTGGGAGCTGGGTAACCATACGTAGAATGGCTATCAGGAAGGGCGATGACGGCGACCAGAAGAGAGGCTAATGCTAATACCTACAGGACAATAAGTACATATTAATACCGAGATCTTTATATTTAGAGAGTGTTTCATAAATGTACTGTATGGGTTAAATACCCTATTGGCAAAGAAATAACATACTACCGCAAAAACATTTGTTTTTACAAAAAGAAAGAAAGGAAGAAAGAAAAAAAGCCTTGTCATCAAAAATGTTTTTAGCATACTTGTCTTGACTCTTCGGATATGTCTGTATATACGTGTATGTAAGAAAACGACTTCTAGAAAATAAATAAACTGTCTTTGCAGTGGAATGAGATAACCACATATTCAACTACAAATGCATAACACGGACATACCTTAAGTGCCATGTTGTCCGAATGATTTGATGAGACTGCAAGGAGACTGACAAAGGCAGGGAAAGCCCTTTTATTTAGACATATTAGATAAAAGACTCCGCCCATCTGATGACGTCAGCGAATATCATCCAAGTAAGATAACCTTGATTATTTCGACCCCCTACCCCCCCCGCGATATTACAGAAGCAGAGATGTCTGGAAGGTCTTTGTTGAAACTGTATTTCCAGAGAGAGAGAGAGAGAGAGAGAGAGAGAGAGAGAGAGAGAGAGAGAGAGAGAGAGAGAGAGAGAGAGAGAGAGAGAGAGAGAGAGAGAGAGAGAGAGAGAGAGAGAGAGAGAGAGAGAGAGAGAGAGAGAGAGAGAGAGAGAGAGAGAGAGAGAGAGAGAGAGAGAGATCACACATTTTTTTTTTCTTCAACATTGCACGGGCAATTAACAATGAATGTATGTTATAATAAGTAAAATTTAATGGCGATGAGGATCTGAAACGTCCTTCCTTTTCTCCTCCCTATTGCTTAACTATTCAAAGATCTTTTAGCGGCGCATTACCAAGAAAATAGTAAACTTACTGTCGTTCTGCATGATAATACAGACTGAAATAGATTTCATAATTTCACATCCAATGATGAATTAAAGTCTGATAGAGAGAATAAGCTACAAGAATTTGTGTATAATAAATTCTGGAATCTGAAATTGCAAGGGACAGTTAACGTGTATTTTTAATGATTCTGTCATACACTATTAAATACAAATATTGCTATAAATTCAAAATCTATGTCAATAGCTGAAAGTGAAAAAGAAAAAAGAAAAATACTACATAATCCTTAGCAGAAACGCACAAACACAAACACTTGCGTTCTAAACATTATGAGTGTAAGCCACTAGAAACTTCTTATCAGGTGAACTTGTTAGGCAAAATTCTTAATATCACTCTAAAATATATCGTCTCCTAGCACATCCATATGATCTACCTCAACAAACACTTTTTGTCAAAGTCTGAAGCAAGTGCAATGTTCGTATAAATAACCGTTCTGTGTTCATGTCTATCTACCAGTCTCTTTCTCTTTATCTACCTGTCTATGTATATTCACACACACATATACACACACATGCATACATATGTGCGTGTGAGTACATTCATACACATAAACTGTGTGTATATATATATATATATATATATATATATATATATATATATATATATATATATATATATATATATATATATATATATATATATATATATATATATATATATATATATTATATATATATATATTTTTTTTTTTTTTAAAGGGAAATTGTTGGCTAGTGAAACTAAGCGATTGATAAAGAATTTAAGGAAGTATTTGAGGTCTGGAGTTACCTTTTACTTCTAAGGGTTAGATGGAACGATAGACACACGGACGAGTTAGTTATGAATACAGTTAGAGCAAAAGAGCGGGAATGGGAAGATAAATCCGGAAAAAAAGGAAGGAGGGAGATATAGATGTTATGAAGAGGTACCACTGTGGAGCGATAATCCATGATGGTCATATATATATATATATATATATATATATATATATATATATATAATATACATACATATATATATATATATATATATATATATATATTATATATACACACACACACACACACACACACATATATATGTGTGTGTGTGTGTGTGTGTGTGTGTGTGTATGCACAATCACAGTAACGTGTACACAAAAATAAAAATAAGAACAACAATAAAAACTGAAAATAAAAGTTACGTTTTGAACACTTTGAGTTACTTTTCAGACGAATAATTAACCGAAATGGATCCATTTTGGTTAATTATTCGTCTGAAGAGGAGATTGTGAAGGGTTCGAAACGTAACATTTATTTTCAGTTCTTATTATGGCTGTTTTCATTTCCATATATATACCTCTTCCAGGTCCATGTAGTAAAATATATTCAGAAAAAATCACAAAATACACCAAAAATGCAAACATTTATATATATATACATGTTTGTATACATATACTACTTATAGTAGTATACACATATACAAGAACATAAGTGTGAAGTGGATATTGGGGATAGATTAAAATGTCTAGAAATTCAGTTGCTAATATAATATAATTTATGAAAGTATAAAATCATATAGATATCTTTCTTTAACGTCTTCAAGCATATGAGGGAGTGGGTGGTTTGTAGGATGGCTGAGGAGGTCCATAGGAGGCCTTTGGGGTGGGATACTGAGCCTCTCCCTCGTAGGTCACATCAGCCACGTAACCGGAGTCTCCGTTGACAGTGTAAGTAACCTTCTGCAGACGACCGTCGGGAAGAAGGACGTAGTAGGATCCCTGTGTGTGGTCGCCATCACGGGCTTCCTGGTGTCCGAAGTCGTTGCCAGATGGTGGGTCGTTGACGGCGTAGTTGAAGTCGTACTTGGCGGGTGCATAAGAGGGTGTGGGAGCAGAGTAGCTATATGTAGGCGGGCTATCTGGACGGGCGATAGCGACGGCCACGAGGACGGCTAGAACAAATACCTACAACACAATATTATTGTTAGTACTTATAATACAACGGAGTGAAATTCCTGAACAAATGTATTATTTCTTAGAGTCTGGATTAATAAGATATACTAATACATGCCTTGAATGCCATGATGCTAAGAGTTGGGATTAGACTGACGGAGAGAAAATTCTTTTCCATTATATACGAGTCAAAGAGAAAACTCCGCCCTTACGGTGACGTCAGTATCATCCCAGCAGGATTACCTTGAGACCTCTCGTGGCCGAGTTTTCCCCTTCGGTGTTACACTTACGCTTGAAGGCCTATTTGTAAATTGTATTTATGATGTAGAAAAAATCCCAAGATTCACATTCTCTCTTGTCGAAGAAAGAAAGAAAAGCGAGGGGTGGTCACACCTTTTACAAAGCGGTTTCATGCTGATTAACAGGTGAATATCTACTCACTTATTCATGCCATGCCGAATCCACACCAAGCCGTGTAGACAGTTCTTTAGCCACAATAATGTTAGACAGATGTGTGCATCAGAACATGTACGGAAGTGATTTCCCGAGTATGGCTATCAAACGGTACCATTAAAATCCCCAGTCAGAATCACGCGCTTGTCTTTTGCTTATGATTGGATATTGATTCTGTAAGCTCTGTGTCATGAGCGTCTGTGCAAAACGCTACATTAATTTCAATAAAGTGTGAGATGTTTTAAATACAACAGGTTGGGAATAATTACAAACGAGTACAGTAATAAAATTTACTTTATGTATTACTACTTGGGGAAATAGCTAACAAATCGAAATATAGATGACAATGAACATAACTAGCCTGTTACGTGAATATCTGAATATTGAAAATAATTAGAACACGAGCTGCATGACTTAAAATGAATATGAATGTCATTGAAATACAAATATTTTAGTATTTTATTTGGTGTATTATAAACTAACTGCGCATTGCAAGATCAGAATGATAATTTTAGCAACATTTTGAGGCTTATGGAAAGTGTATATAACCATCCGTATGTATGTAGTCCGTTTAGTGAAAAATTTCTTAGATCAGGTAATCGAGAAGCCAAAATGGGAAATATACAGAAATTGAATTTAGAAAAAAAACATAAAAAAAGAGGAAAGAATGAGAGTAAAACCGAAGAGCAACTACAAAGGCAAACTATTCGACAAAAGAAAGAAAGAAGCCGGAGAATAAATGGAAAAATGGGATTAGTCAGACAGGTACAGTAGTTCTAGCTAAAAATACATGTAATCATACTTTCAATTTCTTCAATTTAAATTGCTCCTTTCTTCTTAACATTTTCCGGTGACTTGATGTTAGATGTTACATTTAAAGGAACGTTACATTAAATAAGATTATTTTTTTCGAAATTAAATGAGCACCGTCACATTATGAAAATATTGACATTATCAATGAACTAAACATGCAGTGACAGACAACTAGTCTGACCAAGGCGCCCTTTTCGTGTACTTTACTAGTACTGTTAAAAATCATTCATAGTCATATACTGATACCAATGGAAAACACCCTTTGAAAGGAAAGAAAAAAAGAAAAAAAAAGAAAAATACACGATATATTAAAAATTAATAAATGTGCTGTACAGAGTTCACCAAATATAAGAATACCATTGGATGAGAATATGTGCAAGAGATGGATTTATTACATCTTCGTTTGAAGATATAAACGAAAACGGTCAAATACATCTCTTGCACTGATCAGATTGTTCTCTTCATCTGGAATAAGTGTTTTGACTTTGACTTTGACTATGCATATCGCAATAAGCACTGTTCATAGGAAGTAACAGTAATACAATTGTAAAAATGTTTTGATAAGTAAGGATTTTATCTCATTTTAACATACGTAATGATAATATCATTTTCCTTAATTTTCAAAAATTAATTTTGTCAGTGGCCTCACGAAGAAAGGAAAGAAACAAATATTGCAATTCAGCGACACGCAAATTTAAATAAAACATAGAAGTTGAAAGACTGCCATAGTCAATATATATATATTTTTTATTTAATATACAGTACTACAAAGATCCGAGATAAATTAAACTAGTCACGGTATTATTTTCAGGCATATGAGGGGGTAGGTGGCTTGTAGGAAGGCTGAGGAGGCCCATAGGAGGCCTTTGGGGTGGGGTACTGAGCCTCTCCCTCGTAGGTCACATCAGCCACGTAACCGGAGTCTCCGTTCACATTGTAGGTCACCTTCTGCAGACGACCGTCGGGAAGAAGGACGTAGTAGGATCCCTGTGTGTGGTCGCCATCACGGGCTTCCTGGTGTCCGAAGTCGTTGCCAGATGGTGGGTCGTTGACGGCGTAGTTGAAGTCGTACTTTGCGGGTGCGTAAGAGGGTGTGGGAGCAGAGTAGCCATAGGTAGGCGGGCTATCTGGACGGGCGATGGCGACGACCACAAGGGCGGCCAGTGCAAACACCTGTGGGGCAATAATGATTTGAAATCACGTTGTGATATACAGGTTAGGCATACACATACTGAAGAAAGGATTTTGTCAAAACGAATCTACAGTAAAACGAAGACTAACGAAGAGAAAAGAAAGAAAGAAAAAACGAAAAGGAAATGAAACGGTGACCATGGAAAATAATTGATGAAAGTAACGGGATTGTGACAATGATACACTATTGTGTCTCGATGACCAGTTAAAGTCTATTTGCACCACTGCATTCCTAACAAGAAAATGAACTTTGTGATCACCTAGTTAATTTCATAAAATACAAACACATGCCTTGAATGCCATGTTGTCAGAATGAATCGGTGATGAGACTACAGGGAGGCTGACGGAAACAATGTGAACCCTTTCTATTATACGAGTGTCTAAGAGTAACCACCCATGTTGTGACGTCAGGATAGAATCCCAACAAGTTTACCTTGATTCTTCATCCGACATAATTTGCACATCTGATGATGTTACACTATTTCAATGACACCTTTGAAGGTATAGAAAGACATTATATAAAACTAAAGTCACAACTCGCTCTCAAATGTACATGTATGTTTGGTTCTTTACAGATAAATATATAATTCATTTAAATCACACACACATACATATACTATATACATATATATATATCTATATCTATCTATATATATATATATATATATATATATACTATATGAATATACGTGTATATATATCGCATAAATATAATATATTTATGTCTATATCTATATCTATCTATATATATGTATACACACATATGTGTGTATGTGTTTATGTAATACGTATCAATGTCCACACAATTGAAAGGAAAAAAATTATATATGTATATATATGTACATATATACATACATGAATATGAATATATATATACACATAAATAAATAATATTACATATATTGATAACACACACATATATATGCACACACACACACACATATATATATGTGTGTGTGTATGTGTGTGTAAGTGATAATTGTAATGACGGTTTGCCAGTACTGCAGACATTTTTTCTACCTGAGAGTAATTTATTGTTGGTGATCGTATGGAAAGAAACATATCTAAACTATTCATAATGTATAAAAAACAACCAAACACAAACACATATCTATACACATATTCATAAACACGCGCGCGCGCGCACACACACACATATTCATAAATACTTATATATATGTATGTATATGTATATTATATACGAATATATACATACGTAATGTATACTATATGATATTCACTTGTAAACATACATATACGCATTTCAATTGTAAACTATGTATACAAATAAACAGCTTAAAATTCTAGCTCTTCTATGCTTCTCGTTGTGTTTAAATGTACTTCTGTTTATATTGTCCATGTATCATAATAACCAACACCCAATTATTATTATTATTATCATTATTATTATTATAGCTAGAGAACTGAAATTCATTCAAATAAGGTGTACTACAAGAACTACAACGATAATAGGACTAAACTGTGTTCATATCATGAAATATGCTGATAAAAGGAGGAATACTATATGTGAAATTTATTATTTAGTATGTACTTTATGACCAAGTAATAGACATATTCCCATTAGTCTATATAAGTATTGGATAAGTATATATAGTCCGTACTCTCACAGGCACACATAAAAATGCTGGTAAACATATTAATAAGGTATATATATATATTATATATATATATATATATATATATATATATATATATATATATATATATATATATATATATATATTATATATATATATATATAGGCCTCCACACACACACATTTACTTACTAGTATATAAAAATCCGCACACGCGCAATATATATATATATATATATATATATATATATATATATATATATATATATATATATATATATATATATAGGGTCATGCAACACACGCGCAAATTTATATACGTATATATACATACGCATAGGTCGTACAACTTGGTGCTATTGCTGTAGTATTAGTTGAAATCCAGCACCGATTTCTCATAGGGCATTAAGGGGTATTTAGACTGCTGAAGATTAAATTTGTGATTTAGTCTTTATTTTACACAATAAATACTTCCATTCATAACTAAGCATAGGAAGGGGTGGGTGGTTTGTAGGAGGGTTGAGGAGGCCCATAAGTGGCTTGTGGGTACTGGGCTTCACCCTCGTACGTGACATCGGCCACGTAACCGGAGTCTCCGTTGACGGTGTAGGTGACCTTCTGCAGACGACCGTCGGGAAGAAGGACGTAGTAGGATCCCTGTGTGTGGTCGCCATCACGGGCTTCCTGGTGTCCGAAGTCGTTGCCAGATGCTGGGTCGTTGACGGCGTAGTTGAAGTCGTACTTTGCGGGTGCGTAAGAGGGTGTGGGAGCAGAGTAGCCATAGGTAGGCGGGCTATCTGGACGGGCGATGGCGACGACCACAAGGGCGGCCAGAACAAATGCCTGCCGAAAATTATATTAACGTGACCATATTGATGTATTAGCTTTAGATATGCAATTAATGATTTTAGAAACAATTGTAGTAAACGACTAATAATGTATAAACTTTATATTATTTCCAATACCATTCCGGAAAGTGGCCACAACAGGATTGATGGGAAGTTAGAAATTCTTTACCAGTCAACAAAAGCAAATAAAGCTTCACCAAGTGCGGGAGCGGAGCAACTTTACAAACAAAATGGATTTTTTTTATGAAGTAGGTTCAGACATATGATCCATGATTTTAGAAATATCTACACTAAAAGACTGAAAACTATTTTTAACATACCTAATAATATGTATAAAACTTATAACGGGAAAAGACCGCATAAAATTGGTGAAGATTAAGAAATTCTAGTCAACAAAAGGAAATCAGAACAACGCCATTACTAACCTTTAGCACAACTT